ATCACGCTGGTTGCTGGATGGAAAAATAAAAAGTCAACAGTGATGGATAAGAGATGACAGGAGGGGGCAAAGTAGGAGATCTGAAGGTTATGATGAGGAAAGCAACAGAGAGGGAAAGTAGTGGTAGGACTAACATTTAGGGTTAGAACTGAGAAGACATTAAGAATTTTTGTCATTTCTATGAAGTAATTTAAGCCACAAAATAGCAAAATGACAGTTTTTGAAAAAGTTTTGCACTCGCAGCTGTACTAACACTTCACCATACACCTATTTCTTTTTTTTTAATATTTATTTATTTATTTATTTATTTATTTATTTATTTATTTATTTATTTATTTATGATAGTCACAGAGAGAGAGAGAGAGAGGCAGAGACACAGGCAGAGGGAGAAGCAGGCTCCATGCACCGGGAGCCCGACGTGGGATTCGATCCCGGATCTCCAGGATCGCGCCCTGGGCCAAAGGCAGGCGCCAAACCGCTGCGCCACCCAGGGATCCCCATACACCTATTTCAAGTAAGTATCTTCGAGGACCCCTTCCTTATGTATGCAGAACAGTTCCCATAATGGCAAGGGAAAGAAAAGCAAAAATAAACTATTGGGACTATATCACAGTAAAAAAAAAAAAAAAAAGCTTCTGCACAGCAAAGGAAATAGTCAACAAAACTAAAAGACAACCTTGAAAGGGAGAAGATATTTGTGAATGACATATCTGAGAAAGCGTTACTCTCAAAAATAAAGAACTCATACAAGTCAACACCAAAAAATGAATAATCCAATTAAAAATGGTCAGAAGACATGAACAGATATTTCTACAAAGAAGACATACAGATGGCCAAAAGACACAGGAAATGAGGCTCAATACCACTCATTATCCGGGAAATGCAAATCAAAACCACAATGAGTTATCACCTCACACCTGTCAGAATGGCTAAAATAAAAACAAGTGTTGGCAAGGATGTGGAGAAAAAGGAACCTTTGTGCACCAAGGAATGTAATTTGGTACAGCCACTGTGGAAAAAAGTACGGAGGTTCCCCAAAAAATTAAAGATAAAAATACCGTGTATACAACAATTACACTGGTGGTATTTACCCAAAAAAATGAAATACTAATCCACAAAGGTATATACACCCTTGCATCTATTGCGTTATTTACAACTGCCAAGAGAGGGAAGCAACCTGTGTCAGCTGACATAATCTTTTAAAAAGTGAAGGTATCTTTGATGAAACTTCAAGTAAAAAATAAAGGAAAAAAATCTTATTTCTGAAAAAAAAAATAAAAGTACTAGTGTAGAATTTTAGCTACATATAATGCTAATTCTAACCTTCTATTACCCCCAAATCAGAAAGGTGTTTTGAGATATTTGAGATTATACTTTAATGGCAGCTCTTAGTGTCATATACAGTCCCACAAAGCCTATCTCTATCAGTTTTTAATATAAATCTTTATAAAACAACATTGTAAATTATAAACTACTGGAAACATTGTTATTATCATTGTTTATCAAACTCCTTGATAAAATCCTTAAGAATATACTGGTAAAAGCACAAAATTTTCAGACAGATTACATTTTTAAAGTTACATTTAATTTTTCAGTTTGAGACCAGTTTTAAAATGTTAGCAGTATTCTACACATATGGTAAGATATCTTTCATTAAGGAGAGAATCAGTCATTTACTGTTAAAGCAAAAGTACCATAATTATTTGTAATCAATATTACTTCCATGAATATTTGATTCTCTAGATCATAAGATTTCATGAAAATGACCATTTAAAAAAATTGGAATTCATGATGTAATTCCAAATCAATACTTACAGATGTGCAAAGGAAAAGCTGAATAAGTATTAAATTCAGCATGGGAGTAGCATTTGGAATATAATCATCTCTACCACTCATTGTCTTGGTTGCATTTTAAATACTTATTAGATTTTACAATTGCATTCTTATATTTACTCTTCTCTAAATGTCAGTGATTTAAGAATGATTTCTCTCTACAGATGCCAGATTTTCAAATACATTTTTAAAAACCTTGGTCTATTAAGCACATCTGTTTCCAACTCAAAAAATTGCCAATCTTTCTATCACCAGTTCCTAGCCAGGCATGTATTTGCTTGTAACAGTTTCAGGCATCTAAAACAGAATTACACTTGTGTTCAAAATTTTTTTATAGATGAAGAGCTACAGTGAAAGTGAAGGTCATTTATCATAATTTTTGAAGAATGGAGTAAGAAGAGAGAATTCATATGAAGCTCCAAAGGCTGCATCATGACATGCTTCCGGATTGTCAATCAACTGAATAGAAACTTTCAATATTTTACACTTATACTCTACAATCCCATTTCTAGATGTACCAAAAATTCTTCTTGTTCTAATCTATTATAAAGCAATTAGACAAAGTACATACAAAAATTGCATATGACAGTGTTTTTGTTTATTCAGTTTTTAAATACTTTCAAATATTCCACAATATTTTATAAGATAATTTAAACATATGTTCATACCACGTCTCTTCAAAAAAAGCTTTAAAGAATATCACAAATTCCATTTATAGGGAGTGGAGAGAGCTATTAAAAAATAATCTCATATAAATAATTCAATGTTTTTTCTTTATTTCTATAAAATTAACTTTCCATCATCTATAGTAAACTTTTTTTATTCATTGTCACTTCCACTCAATGTTCAAATTTGTAGTTCACTGAACTGAAACTTGCACTCAAAGTTTAAATAGTTGAACAGATTTCTCACAACAATGTTGAGGTTTTCCTGTTCCAAAAACCCTATAATTTTATCTAGTAAAAGGATCAGATTTGTACTAATACATATTTCTGTATGGGTTTCAAATTGTAGACCCATTTTACACTGTAAAATGCTACATTGGTTTTATCTTTTCTCATCTGTAAAGCTCTGTTAAAGTAGACATGTTCCTACTTAATGTCCAAAATATCATCTTTGAATATAAAACATTAAACATCTTAAAATATACATATCCCTTTGTAAACCAACTCAACATTACGACTTTTTTCCAAACCAGTAATTTACTTGAAAAAAAAAAGCCTTAAAAAACGAACGTTATCAGGTCTGTACTGTCCACTAGTGGCAAGAGATAGTAAATGCGCATTTCTTTTAAAATTCAATTTAAAACCCATTCTACCTTCAATATTAGCTTTCTCAATCAAATTTAGAGACCACTATATTATAAGGGCAAATACATAGAAACTCTAAACATAATATGATTTTTGTGTTGTGAACTATTTTCCCTGTATAACATTAATTTACTGTCTTTGGTCAGACTCAGAGACATCATGTTCAGTTAGGTACCTGGGAATATAAATACTAGGATCCATATATAAATGTATGTGTATGTGTACACACATACGTTGTGTGTGTGTATATATATATGATTTATATATGTGATGTACATATTTATATATGATTTATATATATGATATGATATATATATATATATATATATATATATATATAAACCTAAAGTTTGAGCTAGAAACAAAACAACTCTGACAATCTAACATGAATGTATAAAGAAGAGGTAAACTTTATGTAGCAAAGCCTTAATTATTTAACTTACCCCTCATTGAGAAATGTTCTCAGTCTGTAGCTCTCGCTGAAATTGCCTTTTGTTAATAAATGATTTTTAAGCGGGAAATATTTGCTCTAAAATATTAGGAAAATCTCTCCCTCCTTTTAAATCTCAGTGGTCCAATGTGTTAACATCTGACTATTTCTGAACCAGTGCATGATAATTACGACACTCGATGGACATCAGAATGCTTGCATATGACTCAGAAGTCAGGCATATGCTGCAAACAAGGTTCCTCATGGGATTTCAGCAAACTTAAGTTAATGACTCTAGGGCACCTGGGTGGCTCCGTGGTTGAGCATCTGCCTTTGGCCCAGGTGGTGATCTTGGGGTCCTGGAATCGAGTCCCGCATCAGGCCCCCTTCCCTCATCAGGGAGCCTGCTTCTCCCACTGCCTGTGTCTCTGCCTCTCTTTCTGTGTCTCTCATGAATAAATAAATAAAATATTTTTTAAAAAGTTAATGACTCTAAACTTTACCACCTGCTGGAAACAAACCTGAAGCATCATTAGTGTGGATTTCATAAACAAAGAGATGTATTACTTACCAATTTTTTTTAAAAATGGATGTAATAGTGTTTTTGATTAAGACACAGTTACATAACTGATTACTTACCTTCTTTAGACAGCTGGTCAGTGTACATATGATCTGTATGCATGTGTGTGTGTCTGTGTGTATGTATATGTACAGATATAATGTATAACATATAGTATATAATTAATGTAATACACATATAAATACACATACATATATATATATATATATATATACACCCCAACTAAATGTTGACTCATTTGAAGCTTTTGGCTTATTATTTTGTTAGGATTTTTCTTTTCTTTGCTCATTATTCTATCCCACATGCTTACCTGGAACGCTTTGGTGCACACAAAATGTACAATTAATATTGTTTAAACAATGAATATTAATAAATCATTGAAATGGGAAAGGTTCGTGACAGCATTTTATTGATGAAAATGCAAAGGGAAAGTATAAAGGCAAGTAGCTGATCCTGAATAGCCATACAGTCAATATTAAAAGAACTTAGGTGCACTTGAGATATATTGATATTTTCAGACTGCTACCTAAAAGAGTAAGGTAAAATTGTTTATTATAAGTGCCAGGATATAATGACTTCTTTAGCAATCCCCTCACATGAGCCTGACATAGAAAGTTAATTGTGTCACGTTCATTAAAAACATACATTATTTAGAACAAGATTTCTTATGAGTTGAGTTTGATTAAGTTCACATGGACATGTCAGCTAAAATATTCCTCTGATGGAGGAAATTCAATTTTTTTTAACCTTTCCTCTTGTTTATAGAGCTTTCTGCCCATGAGGTTACATATCTGAACAGAGAAAACTGTCAGTTTCATTTCTTCCTCTACATTGTATGCCTTCATACCTCTTTCAGATTTTTTGGCTTTGATTCTTTCAGTTCTTCATACTTCCATTTCCACACAGACAAAGCTGACTCCAGTCGCTCTATTTCTTTTTCCAAAGATGAACGCATTCTAAATAAAGAATTAAGAGCAAAAGAGTCTTACAATTTAAAAATAATTTTAGGAACACATTCAATTTTTGATTACCTATTTTCCTTATCTTTATACTCGTATACGACCATTATAATCACAAAAAAACTTTTCTAGCTAAAAAATTATAAATATTGAGTAAAACTTGGTTTAGTTTGTTATTCTGTTAATTAGCATTAGAGTAAATTAGGCATTTTTAATTTTCCTTTGCCAGTATCAAAATATTTGACTTTCTGCCAGCTTTCTCCTCTATTATTCATGCCTTTCTCTCATTTTCTTATTCATATTGTTTCCTTATTTAGGAGGATATATATATTTCTAATTTTAACATGGCTTTTATCCAACTTCATATTGTGACTATATATGAATAAAGAAATCATCCTTTGATATGAAAGAGAATGCTAAGGAGTCCACATAAGAATTTAAGAAATCAATCATTTACTGGAGATATAAAAATACTTTTTAAAAATATTTGCAATTTTGTTTTAATGAAAAAAATTCACTTGGATCTTTATTTTAAATAATTGGATTAATTTATCCATTTCTACAACAAATGACAGAATTAGAATTGAAATCTGGTCTTTTAATATCTTCATTATTGATTTTTTTTGTATGCCCATATGTCTATCAGAGTGATTCACTGAAAATAATTGTTTACTTCTGGTTGTAATTAGCATATATTGACCTTTGCAGATGGCCAATCTTCATCTGTGTGGTGCATCAGATTAGTGTTAAAAAATGTAGTGTTTTTTTCTACTTCCACGGACAGAGTTGCTTTCCTCAATCCTTGCTTCTAGGTTTTGACAATAGGATATTAGCAGATATGACAGACCCAGATGTTTGAAAAGAATCTATGTGGTTGGGCTTCTTGTCTCATGTCTCAGCCATCACTGTGAAAAGAGTTTCCCCGAGGAATTGCTGTCCCCAAATAAAAACATAAAGGAGATCTGAGCCCAACCTTACCATGGAGACAAACCCAGCTGGCCCACCTTTTTTGTCCATATAGGCAAAATAAATAATTGTTTTAGGCCACTGAATTTTATGGTGTTGTGTGTGTGTGTGTGTGTGTGCTCGGGTTGTTTTATTGTATTTTTTTCTGCAGCAAATATAACTGATATAGAAAATGATACTTAAAAGGGGGATGCTAGAGGAAAAATGGTGATAAAGCATAAGCAGCTGGAAAAAAAATGGTGATATGTGTTATTTAGTGATGAAACACATGATGAAATCATTACTTGCAGTGATTTGGAAAATGGAAAATGTGCCTGACACCATCAATGGAATGCTAGTGGGCACCATGTGGCTGAGCCTTCAAAAATGTTTATGCAACTGGTTTTACCTTGTATTTTGGCCAAGCAATGGGAAGTACATAGCAATGTGGACCCACTGCTCCCAGTGGGAGTATGAGAGACAGGGATCATAACCAGCCTCCCCTGCAGAGCCTCGTCTGTATCAAGCAGCCTTTAGTTGGCTCACAGACTCCAGCTGAATAAAGTCTGATTGTTGTATACCACTGAGATTTTGTGGTTGTTAGTTACAACCTTACTGTAATTAACCAGTATACACACTTGGGTCTATTTCAGTGATAATATCAGTAGAAGGTTCTTAGAAACATGTTCATAGACCTAGAAGATGCACCCAGAATCAAAATTGAATGAAGTTTACATATTTATGAGAAATGTGAATCTTCCATAGCAATACTGTGAAAATAATTCAAAATAGAATTAGGTCATAAATATATTAGTTTAATCCAATCAGTGGATAAGTAGCTTATTAAAAAGTTATATAATTATATTTGCATGAACCATTGAGAACATGTGAGCATTAGCTAAGGTTTAACCTCAGGTTGCAAAAACACCAACACCATTTATAAGACTATAATTTTGAAGACTCAGGTTGCAAAAACACCAACACCATTTATAAGACTATAATTTTGAATCCCCTATTAGCAGCAAATACATTAAAATTAACAAACAAAAGGGCTTGATATGAAAGTAGGTCATATGAACACTGCCTATGAATGTCTACAGCTCCACATAACAACTTCAGCCCAAAATCCTTATAGATAAGCAGACCCAGCCAGTTAATTACATCCAAGTTACTTTCCAAGATATTATTTTTATCTTAGTGACTATGGTTAGGATTTTAAGAATGAGATTAAGTATAGAAATAATGAACAAATTGCCAAATACTAATGTTTGGTGTCACACTTAAACAGAACATGAAAAAATCACTGTACATTAAAATATGTTATATATCTGGCATTTGGATAATTTTAAGGTTTTCAAATGGTAAGTCATATTTGAATATTTAAGAGAAATTGAGTATTGACTTAGACTTATAATTTCAGTTGCAAAAATAAGAAAATTTCACTAAATTTGTAACTTCACTGGAATGTTTAAGAATCACTGTACTCTTAATTTACTAGAGTTGCATGAGTAGAACATGGGAATCTCTATTTTTGTCAGGGATTGAAAATTTTAAAAAGGAAAAGGAATATAGTAAATAAAGTGATTTTATTAAAGGATACTAATTAACTACATTTGTGTAATAAGCATACATTGATAAATTATCTCAAAATTTATTAGTAGAATAATATAAAAATTTACTTGAAAAATTGAAGAAAGTCTACACTTTAAAATTTAGGATCATACATGTTCAGAAATCACCATCAAGTTTTTAACATTGCAGTTTAAAAGATCAAATGATAATGTTAGCAAAAAGGCCCACATTACCGTAAAAATGATTTATTATTATTGTAGAATAAATGTTGATTCTTAAAAATGTCATAAAAAGTATTGGGGTAAATATTCTTTCAGAATTTTATAAGAGGTTCAAGAAGAGTACTGCAAACTATATATTAATTAAGCTTTTAATCTTAATTATACAGAAACATAGAAATATTCTAAAGATAGAATTATATCTAGATTACACCTTGACCTAGAATTAGTCAAAACCAGTTCATAAAATAAAAATAATATAATTTTGCCCAAATGTATTAAAAGGAAATAGATTCTTATGCTTTATTTAAGACATATTAGTAATATTTATAATATAGTATTATTTATCTCTTCATGTATGCATCTTAAATATAATAACTAATATTTATTAGTTTACTGAAATAAAATTATATGTTTTTATTACATAAGATGGTATAATTTAGTCTAAGGAGTGAAAGGAAAGGCAATTCATAAACATGTATTTAATGATATTGCGATACTTGGATATTTTTAGTGTGGCTTCATCAAGCAAATTTATACAACTAAAATATTTTTAGTTGACTCTATGCAAGCAAACATTGAGGACATAAGGACCCTGCACACTTAAATTTATGCAGCAGAGGGCACTCTTTAAATTCTTAATTTCTGGCCTAATCAATTTATTCTATATTTTAGAGGAATTTCCAAAATTATTAACTATACAGTTAAATTTATAATTGAAATTTAAATTATCATCAGATCATTTGAACTATTAAGGAAAAGAAAAAAACTTATTTTACTCTAAAGAATATTGCATTTTTAAAAAATAGTAAGATAAAGTTCAGCCAAAATGTAGTATTTTTAATATGATGATATAAACTTTTAAAGATCTCATTGCTGAAATATATAAAATTTGCAGAACTAAAAGATAAAAGTGTAAACCAAAATGATTTTTCTGGAAAGGTAGTATTATATTTCTATACAATCCTTTGATAGTTATGATGATCCCACAATAATTGAACATAAAACTTGGACATATATATAGACAAAAATTTAGCCAAAATATTTTTCAGGGATGAAAATTCCTGAAACACTAATATTTGGGGATAAAAGTAATCACTTTCGAACTATGCGAAATTTTATTGTAAAATAACAAGTACTTTCTTAAAGTTCTATCAATATTTGTTTTTGCCAGACAAAAACAAATTAACTTATAATAACATCTAAATATTAATTTTTCTATTAGTCTAAACTGTAGTTAGTATCAAACTATAAATAATAAAAAAGTTTTAAATATGTTTTTAATCAGCAACATATTTGTCATTTTGTGACTCTACTCTCAAGTATTAACAATTACATCCTTAGCATTTTTAGCATCTTTCAGCAAATAGCCAAGCCATATATAGTTAATTTAATTAGAAAAGAGATGAATTTTTAAAATACTATGAAACTCAGAAATATCCAAAATGATCAGAGACCAAGACTCTGAGATGATCCAGCCAGGAATCAGTAAAAGATTTACTCTCATGCCACAGAGCTGATCCTATGAAGACCCCACTGCCTGTTGCCTGTCCACTTTCTTGGTATCAAATATGTGTCTAATGAGTAAATATTTCGAATTAGCCAATATAAGTAAAGTAGTAAAGGATATTATTAGCTCAAAGAATCTTTTTGAGGAAATTCTGGGAAGATTCGGAGAAGCAAATGGGGAACCTGCACAGCAAGAAATACCAAAGATGATGCCATAGCAATCTTCCCATCAGTATTTCATTGCAGCCACCATTTAGGTATGGGCATCACAGCATGACCTCAATACCACCAACTCCAGACCTGGCGATAGCTTCCCTGGAGACCACTGCTGCCTCTTGGATCAAGATGTAGCTACTACCACAGCCTTCCTCCTCACCGGGATAGGTGCTCTCTTTTTCTTGGGGCATTAGCTTTTGCTAAAAAGGCTAGGTGGCTACATCTCAAGAGCTGTTCCTAAGTCAAGTGCCTGCACCTTAACCACAAGGGAGACTCAAGTTGAGACTTACTAACAATTTTGTAGTCTATGCAGAAAGACAGACTCCATCTCCTTAGGTAGGGTATTACTCAAACATAAAAGACACTATACAATAAAAACCATTTGCAAAAGTACACAAAAAGTGGCTTGAAACGGGTTAAATATAAGACTGAAACTGTAAAAGTCCTCAAAGAAAACTTAAGGAAAAAGCTCCTGGATATTGGTATTGGCAATATTCTTTTGGACTCAACACCAAAGCAGAGGCAGCAAAAGCAAAA